CCGTTCCAGCCCTTGTCGCACACACACGACCCGTTGTTACAGAAGCCGTGCAGGTCACAGCGGTGGTCACACTCCAGCTGGTCACACAACACACCTTCCCAGCCCGGGTGACACACGCACCTCTGGTTCTCACAGCCGCCGTGAACACACTCCAGACGGCAGATCTCTGGGGACGACACACGCGTGTTGTTGATGTGTTAGTTAGTTGTTTGATGGTGTTGTTGCTGTTGTTGTTGGTGCTACTGTTGTTGTTGTTGTTGTTGTTGTTTTTGTTGCTGTTGTTATGAATTGTGTTGGTCTTGCTGTTCCTGTTGCTTTCATTATTATTGATTTAATAAATACAGTTGTTGGTGTTGTTGTTGTTGTTGTTGTTGTTCTTGTTGTTATAGTGGTTGTTCTTGTTGTTATAGTGGTTGCTGTTGTTGTGGTGGTGGTGGTGAAGACAGTGGTGCTGTGGCTGCTGCTTTTGAGATGGCAGTGTCGCTGCTGAAGTTGAGGTAGGTGCTCATGTAAGGACGCTAAAGATTCTGTAGTTGTGGAGGTAATCTTTATTGTCCAGATCCTGGTACATTGGTTTCGACAATAAAGATGTATCTTATCTTATATCTTACCTTATATCTGCGCAAGCATACCGAAGACAACATTTTAAAATTCATTGAGGTTTTTTTTGGGTGTTTTTTTTTTTTTTTTGGGGGGGGGGGTTGTTTGTAAGTTGACTTAAAAAATACAATACTTTTATAGTAATAAAATCACGATCCACCATGAAGACAGGAATGCCAATTTTCAGGTTAGCACCCACATCTATAATGCCTTAGGAGGCAGGCAATAGGAGTAGTTTATATACTCAGACATAAATAATGGGGACTAATTGTTAATTATTGTCAATTCTAAAGTATAGTTAATGGTGCGACACAAATTGCTGCACTGTAATGCGAGTTACTAAAAAGAATTGGCCACGATGTTATTGGTAATATATTATTATTCTACAGAATGACGTAGTTTACATGAGTAGGTCTCTGTGAACACGTAGAGTGACCTGAAAATGACGGAGTGCACGTGAGAATGACGTTGTGAACATGAAGTGACCTGAAAATGACAGAATGCACGCGAGAAAGACGTTGTGAACATGATGTGACCTGAAAATGACAGAGTGCACGTGAGAATCACGTTGTGAACATGTAGTGACCTGAAAATGACGGAGAGCATTTGACAATGATGCAGGGATCCAAGAAAAGCACCAAGCAGAAGCTCATAGCAAGCAGAAAGAAAATACGACACAACAAGCAGAACAAAGGGGGGGGGGTGTACAAGGTGCTTGGGGTAAGGGCGTCCTGCAGATAGGAATTGCCCAGATGGGAATCACAATTCACTACCCCATAATTACAAAGTTCTATCTGACATTTTTGGCTGTTTTGATTTACTACAACCATGAGGTCAGAAACCAAATGTTAATGTTTTAGCTACTCTTCCCAAATCGTAAGATTATTCGGAGTCGTTATCAAGATAATCAAAGATTTGCATTCGAAAATTAAAAAGCTTGATATTTTGATATTTTGGGAAACTCAAAATTGTTACGTCAAATTTCTCAAAACTAGGTACTGAGCAGACAGAATTTTGTAATTCTAAGGTCACGAATTGTTCCATGTATGTAGAGGTAAGGGGTCAGTCCTCGCCAGCTAATACCTTGATCTGTCCCACTGCTTGAGCTAGTCGCAACAAGAACAGCAACGGGGAACAAAACACCCACAGTTCTGTCCCCTTATTAGACAAACGAGAGATTGCCTTTACCTTTTGTAACAAAAGCATGTCAGTTTCTCTATCCGTCTTATAGTCAGTTAAAATGAAATAGCATGTCTGTTCCTTTCAGGTAAAACGACCGTTATCATTTACAAATGCATCATCATAAAGTGCTAGATCTGGAATAAACAAAGGCGTTCGTGGGTCTCCATTCTTTACTTCTCTTGTTTGCTCTAAAATCCCACATTATCCAGTTGTTGCCAATGGCAATTCCAGTTGTTTTTTGTTTTTGTTTTTGTTTTTATTTTTTTTCAGAAAAAAATGACCTGGTGCTTGACAAAGACGTGTCAGCCCCCCTTTAATTAAATATAACTTTAGCCTTGAGAAGTACATGCCAGTTTTTCCATGCTAAGATGACTTTGACTCTGACAAATACATGCCAGTTTAGTTCTGCTTTTGTCCTGCTGGAAATAACTTTGCCTTTGTCAAATGCATGCCAGATTGTCCTAGCTATAAATGCCCTATCCTATGCAAATGCATGCCAGTTCTTTCCAGCTAAAAACGACCTTGGCCTTCACAGATGCATGCCAGTGCTTTGAGGCTAATAATGACCTTGACCGAGAGAGAGGCATGCCAGAAGCGTTACCTGTCTCACAGCTAAAGCCCGTGAAGTGACCTCGGCAGTGACACCGGCCGGTCTCCACGTCATAGTGACCGTTGTCCGAGCACGTGTGCGCACACAGCTGCCTCACGTTCAGTTTGTCCTCCTGGCTACAGTCCTGACCCCTGAACCCTCTAAAGCAGCGGCACCGCCCCTGGATGCACGTGCCTTGGTAGGAGCAGTGCGGGTCAGGGCAGGTCACTACTCACACGTGGACGTGGGAGGGGCG